TCTGCTTTTTTGAAGTCTGTTGTCCTTATTCTGAAGCTCTTACTGCTTTCTTTCCTTAGAATCATTGAATCTATCAATTTCTGACCTACATTGCCGTCATTCTTCACATTTGCAACCAATTCCTCCCTGTTGGTCAGAATCAGGGCTAAAATGTCTGTCTCCCTGGTTATTTCCTTAGACTTCTGAAACCAGAAGTTGTCCCCAATACATTCTAAGATCTTACTAGACATTTTATGATTTGCTATATTACCTTTCCATAGATGTCTGGACATTTTAATCCCCAATTAATACCAAGTCTTGAGTTTTGGATATATCCCCACTAGGGCTGTCAAGTGATTAAAAAAATTAATCACGATTAATCGTGCTGTTAAACAATAATAGAATACCATTTATTTACATATTTTTAGATGTTTTCTACATTTTCAAATATGTTGATTTCAATTACAATACAGAATACAAAGTGTATAGTGCTCACTTTATATATAAGTGAGCACTGTACACTTTGTATTCTGTGTTGTAATTGAAATCTATTACAAATACTTGCATTGTAAAAAAACAAAATAAATAGTATTTTTCAGTTCACCTAATACAAGTACTGTAGTGCAATCTCTTTATCATGAAAGTTGAACTTACAAATGTAGAATTATGTACAAAAAATAACTGCATTCAAAAATAAAACAATGTGAAACTTTAGAGCCTACAAGTCCACTCAGTCCTGCTTCTTGTTCAACCAGTCACTCAGACAAACAAGTTTGGTTATAATTTGCAGGAGATAATGCTGCCCGCTTTTTGTTTACAATGTCACCTGAAAGTGAGAACAGGTGTTTGCATGGCACTGTTGTAGCCGGTGTCGCAAGATATTTATGTGCCAGATGTGCTAAAGATTCGTGTGTCCCTTCATGCTTCAACCACCATCCCAGGGGACATGCGTCCGTGCTGATGGCAGGTTCTGCTCCATAATGATCCAAAGCAGTGCAGAACGACGCATGTTCATTTTCATCATCTGAGTCAGATGCCACCAGCCAAAGGTTGATTTTCTTTTTTGGTGGTTCGGGTTCTGTAGTTTCCACATCGGAGTGTTGCTCTTTTAAGACTTCTGAAAGCATGCTCCACACCTCATCCCTCTCAGATTTTGAAAGGCACTTCAGATTCTTAAACCTTGGGTCGAGTGCTGTAGCTATTTTTAGAAATCTCACATTGGTACCTTCTTTGCGTTTTGTCAAATATGCTGTGAAAGTGTTCTTAAAACGAACATGTGCTGGGTCATCATCTGAGACGGCTATAACGTGAACTATATGGCAGAATGTGGGAAAAACGAACAGGAGACATGTAATTCTCACCCCAAGGAGTTCAGTCACAAATGTAATTAACGCATTATTTTCTTAACGCGCATCATCAGCATGGAAGCATGTCCTTTGGTATGGTGTCCAAAGCATGAAGGGGTATACAAATGTTTAGAATGTCTGGCACATAAATACCTTGCACTATTGGCTACAAAAGCTCCATGCAAACGTCTGTTCTCGCTTTCAGATGACATTGTAAATAAGAAGCAGGCAGCATTAGCTCCTGTAAATGTAAACAAGCTTGGACTGAGTGGACTTGTTGGCTCTAAAGTTTTACATTGTTTTGTTTTTGAGTGCAGTTATGTAACACAAATGTCAATTTTTTTTTGTTACACTTTCACGACAAAGAGATTACACTACAGTACTTGTATGAGGTGAATTGAAAAATACTTTCTTTTGTTTATCATTTTTACAGTGCAAATATTTGTAATAATTCATACAAAGTGAGCACTGTACACTTTATGTTCGGTGTTGTAATCAAAATCAATATATTTGAAAATGTAGAAAAACATGAAAAACATTTTATACATTTCAATTGGTATTCTATTGTTTAACAGTGTGATTAAGCGCGATTCATTTTTTAAATCGCGTTTAATTTTTTGGCGTTAATTGCGTGAGTTAACTGCAATTAATCAACAGCCCTAATCCTCATCTTTCATGTTCCCACCATTCATCCAGCTCTGTTAGTCCCAGTGTGTGTGGCCAGTAATGGCTGACACCATTTTAAGAATCATATTGATTAGATTTGCTTCAGACACAGTTAGATGGTACAGAATGGCTCAGCAGTTGGTGGACCATTTGTATTAGGTTGCCTAACATAACTAACACTGGTGCAGCCATACTGGTGTTAACAATAGTGGGAAATAGGCTAAATCAATGGGATTTTCTAATGACGTCACTGAGAGTTAGGGCAAGCCTTTAATGATGAATGGCTTGAGATGCTGAGCTCGCATCCTTGTACCGTGTTATTAATGGCACTAAATATGCACCGATATGGGAATTGGTAAAAGTGCATAAAATCTGTATGACATTGGATTAAAATCAATAGCGATGTGCCTACAGAGACAGAGGCATTAAAGTGACTTTATATGCTAAATCCATGCTAACATGATTATTGTAGATTAATGCAGGGAAGACGCATAAGAGATGCTCAAAGATCATGAGAGGGATGCCAAGTAATGTTAATCAGTGGGCATTTATGAAACAGCTTTATATTAAATGTCCTAAGTGTCGTCCTATATGGAACAGAGCTTTGGGAAAATAAGAAGTCCGTTCAACACAAATTGAACTGCTTTCAATGCAGGAGTCCATGCAGAATATTCCAAGTAAGCTGGACTTATAGAAGAAGTAATGAAGAGGTCCTAAAATGGGCACAATTACCTACAACAATGCAAGGGGTATGGAAGAAGGGATGGGACTTACTTTTAAGGATGTCTGATAATAGGCTACCCAAATGAGCATTTCTTTAGCAACCCGAGGGCAAGAGATGGGGAGGTCTACCTAGAGGCACACTCCATCGCACAGTAATGCCTGAAGTGTCGTCATTGCTTCTGAATATAGAAGATCTAGAAAAACAAGCCCAAGATAGGGATGATTAGCGCCATTAGACTTCTGCCTTGTGCTCCTGATGGTGCGGGAAGGCTAGTGATGACAATATTACATTTGCATATGTGAGGGCGCAGAGTGGGGGAGCAGACACTGTTTGATAAGCAAACTACTGTAATTATACTAGGTTCAATAGCAACAAGGAGTCTGGTGGCACCTTAAAGACTAACAGATTTATTTGGGCATAAGCTTTCGTGAGTAAAAACCTCACTTGTTCAATAGAAGGCTGTTTGATAAATGGTCACTGGACACAGGTAGAGCACTCATGTGAATAAGCAAAGCAGTTTGGTGCACTGTCTGGCTTACACTAAGGGTGTGTATATAAAACATTGTACACCACTAATCTATTGCCCTGGTTTTCCATTGCTGAGTATCCATTCCTTTTCTAAGAAGGGAAGAATTCAGGGGCTCAACTTGTTCTTGATCCCCCAGGCACAGTAGGAAGAGTAGTAGCAACTTCTATGATGTTTTTAAAGCTTGGTCAGTGGGGACTAACCTGGAGTTTGGTAGAGGAAAAAAATATTTTAGAATACAAAATACTATTCCAGTCGCCCCAGCTAGAAGTACCTCACTGCAATTCAATGTCAGTGTTTTCAGTCTATGCTGCTGTTTTCAGGGATTTATAAAAATGACCATAAATATTCACTCTGCACTCATACTTGGCACGACAGTTCGGAGCCCTAAACAAATTGATTTTATAATGTCTTTTATTACCACACTCGATTAAAAATTTAAAATGAGCTATGCCCTTTTAGAAGATAAAAATGGGGCCATAAAACTGTGTTCTTGTGCTTTAATCCTGATATTTTGTCCTCTACCAGTACAGGATTGGCTTGGATTTAAACCAGGATGTTTTTCAAGTTTCCAGGTGCACATTTAGTGAGGATTTTCGTGGCCCCCGTGTTGTATAGTGTATGGATTGTACAGTTCCCTAAAAGGCAGACTTGCGCACTACTGTGAGTTTACAGCAAAGAGTACAAACGACATGGCTTGCACTTTCAAAAGCGACTTGTGATTTTGAGTTCCTCGGTTACTGGATGCCCAACCTGAGACGTCTTTTAAAGGAGTCTAGTATTCAGAAGTGCTGAGCTCCCCCCCCTCTGAAAATCAGGCCAGTGTAAGGTGTCTCCAGCGGGGCATGGTGAATCACTAGTCACTTTTGAAAATTTAGGTTTGTGTTTTAAAAAAAAAGGGGGGGGGGCTAATGATATGTGAAAAACTTTTAAGTCTCCTTCAGTATTGTTATGATGTGTGTAAGGTATAAAGAATGACATGGGCCAATACTTGCGGATATGATAGAACTGTGAATGAGCATAAGCCAGTTTATCATGAGACAGTATTTCACAGGTTATAAGTCCCTAAATATTGGATGTACACCATAGTAGGAATGTCTCATTTGTTACCATTGATTTTTAGTGAATCTTCCACCACCACTCCCAGCATCATGCACTTAAAAGCGTTTCCAAAGTTCTGAAAGGGCATTTTAAAAAATGAACAATAGAGGGCAGAATTGTGGATATAATCCACCCTAATTGAACATTTTGACTGTTGTGTGTATTTAACCCAGTGTCTCTTGCTTTCTGACTGTTTATAACTCATGCTCTGTTGTGCAATGCTTGAGTATACAGCCCTTGCCCCAGGATCCCCACTTTCTCTTCATTTTGCTTATGAGAGTTGTGTGCTATCCACCAAACGCCCAGTGCACTCTCTTTACAGTTCCACAATCTCTGTTGCACAGCTTGTCTGATTTCATTAAAGATAGTCCATATTACTGCAGTTCGTTTCTTTTCAATGTAATCAGGGAATTGCCACAGATCATCTCTGAGGAATTGGTGGGTGAACAAATTCTCAAGATGTCCCTATGCATGTCCATGTTTGGGAATTTCCCATGGAAGTATGTTGGTGTTTTTAATGATTGTTCTCTGGAATGCGCTTTTTTAGAATACCACCCATTGTGGTTTATCTTGTGTGTGTGCTTCCTTTGATAACTACTGTCTGAGTCATGTGGTCAGCATTGATCTCTTTATCTCATTTGTTTCTGTTTTAACACAGATTGCTCGTACATCTTTACGGCCGGCATATCCATCTCAGGTGCATTTTTCATCCCATTGTTTTGTATCTCTCTCTCTTTAATATTGTTTTCCTTACATCCTCCTAATGTTTTGTCTAATGAGTGTTATCAATTTTAACCTAGTTGTCTTGCTTATTGTGTTTATCTTTTCTAGTATTATTTACATGTTTTAATTGCTTTTTCATCTTTTCCGTGTATTAATAGAGATTGGTTTTGCTTAATTTTAATGTCACTTTAAGATTGCGTTAATTTTTCAGATTTTGATATATTAAAACATAAAATGCACATGTGTGAGCAGGTCTTATCTGGAAACAATCATTTTTCTTTTGAATTCAACCCTGAATTCATATTAGGCAGGGATTTAATTTGTAAGTACTTGCTGTTGTACCAGTGTTGCAAACATGCACATGAGTAATTACATTGAGTATCATGGGACAGCCCCCATATATAAATATTTGCCCAAATTATTTGTTTCAGAACCCATTCCTGCTTGATTAGGACCTGAACTGTGGAGCACTCTTCTTGAGCTTGCCTCGAAATCTGTAATACCTTTGGAAACGGGCCCGTTTGCCCGCCTTGTATTTTTTTTTCTTTTTAATCTGCACCACAGATAATTGCGACTGACTCATTGCTTATTATTTTTAAGTTGGTGCAGCACATTCCAGAAGCAAGTCTGAACTACCAGAAGGTGCCTCCCGGGTCAACAGGATTCAAGGATTTTGATCAAAATATGAACGACAATAGAGAAGAGGATCTCTCGAGAAAAACAAGGACAAGAAACCGAGAGGAGGCAGGTTTTTTTCTCCTGTACTTTATAAGCTTGTATATAATACTGTAAGTTGCAACCCATCTGTCTCTACTTCCTAACTAGCTACCTGGCTAGCTGAGGGAATTCAAAGAACTCCAGTGCTCAGGAGTCCTTGACTTTGTAACTATAGAAATACCTGTTTAGAAAAACCCTTATACACCTCTACCTCAATATAACGCGACCCGATATAACACGAATTCGGATATAACGCGGTAAAGCAGTGCTCCGGGGCGGGGGGGTGGGGCGGCGCACTCTGGTGGATCAAAGCAAATTCAATATAACGCGGTTTCACCTATAACGCGGTAAGATTTTTTGGCTCCCGAGGACAGCGTTCTATCAAGGTAGAGGTTTACTGGATGCTGGGTAGAGTTTTCTTTTTGATGTAAAACACTAATAGAAACCTGAGAATTCTACTAAAAGGAACCAGGAAGCTATGGAACAAGATTTTCAAAAGTCACTAGTGATGGAAAGCGCCACACTCTTTGGGTGCCCAATCTGAAACTTCTTAGAAAGGCCTTGTTTTCAGCACTATCTGAAAATTGGGCCTTTTTTGAAAGGTGCATCAAGTTCAGCACCCACAACCGCTAGATTCTGAAAGTCTTGGCCCTCCAGTCAGTATTTGTACTTCATGCTTTTGCAGCTGGTACATAGCCAGTAAGACCACTCATAGAACAAGATAATATTCAGGGGTGGCAGAAGCTAGACCTTACTAATGAGCTTCTGCACTGGGGTTGGGTGTCCTGCCATGGCCTACTCATTGTATTCACCCTAACCGTCAGTAAAGCATGAGCGGCTCTAGATTCTATCCCCCCAAATGCTCCATTTTAGGATAGCAGTACAATAAGACGTGATGTCTACTGGCTATTCCAATTGAGGTCTTTGCCAAGTAAACTGGAAAGATTGCCCCCAGAAGGCTTGGGAGTCTCTGACGTATAGGATACTGACTGGTGTGCTGTGAGTTTTTTATTAGATGGGTTAAGCTGATTGCAATGAGAATGCAAAGCTTTCATTCAAAAGGTCATGGATACTGTATGGTAAAGAGACTTGGGTGTGTTGTTTTTTCACAGCAGGTTGTAACATTGCTTTTCCAAGACTAATGCTGCGAAAGTAACCTGGTTTTGAGCTACAATATGAAAACACATTGAACATTTGCAATGGGGGTTTTCTGTTTTTGCCTTTAAAACCATGGGAGGACTTCAGTGATTGGTTTTAAAAACAAACAAACGCTTGAACAGTTTTATAACTGAAAACAATTCTGCAGGCCTCTCTCTTCCTTTACTCTTTAAAATAAAATCTTAACAGATTAGTGCTAATCCCCTCAGTGAAGTACTGCAATAAAAGCTGCTTTTTCGCTCCTCTCCTGTTGAGTTTTAAACATGATCCAGATTCAGAAAGCCTCAACTGAAATGCTACCATCTCCAGTTGAAGAAATAAACTCTTTTGACACAACCAGTATAATATAAAAATGGTAGCTATGAGGGCACATTTTCAATATGATCTGATCTGTTACATTTTAGGTCATCTTTGACAACCTGATGTTGAACCCAGTGTCTCAATTATCCCATGCGATCCGTGAAAATACAGAAAACCTGGCTGAAAAAATGAAGTAAGCTTTTAGCTCTGATCTGGAATGTTCTCTTGCCCGTTGAGTTGTTCCAAGGAAGGGCGTGATTAATTTATTACTTATGAAAGGTACTGGATTGTCATCCCTGGAAAGGGTGGTTGCCTGTACACAGAAGGGGAAGAGCACAGACTGCAAAAGTAGAAAAAGGGTTTTACTTCCCTCCTCCATTTCATAGTCTGTCCCTAGATAACTGAAGCCTTGACCCAGCTTCATAACGCAATGTGAGGATGTTTGTATAAAAATGTAAAGTTCACTGTATATGGCACAACTAACTTTGTTATGGAGGACAGTGTCCAAATGATGGCAACTCGGAGTACATGCCTATTCTGTACTGCCTTCCTGATGCATCTTAGCCTTCCCTGGAGGAATCTCGCCTATGAAAAGACGGGGAACTCATTCTCTATTCCGTTCAGTCCATGGACCCCCCCCATTCCAAAACTCCCAGCACGTCTGCAGATTGTGATGGTGTTTGTTGTGATGCCCTCTTGGAACAAGATTGTCAGCTCCTAGGCCTTAGGACAGGTAGCGGGTGGGGAATGACTTTTGGTTGCTTGTGAGCTAGATTCAAAGTGGAGATGAAAGGCCCTTTATCTCATCACTAATGTACAGAACCCCGTTGTTGCTATGTTTTGTGTCAATTGTACACTGTAAACAAATGTAAAGGATATATTTTTGGTGGGCATTTTGTAAAAGGTCCAATCTTGTGTGCTTCAGAATTGTGTTTCAGAACACTGAAAGGACCTGGGAGGAGATGGAGGCCAAAATTAACTCGGAAAACGAAGTGCCAATTTTAAAGACCTCAAACAAGGTAACGTGTTTGTGCTTAAGTAAGCTTCCTGGCACCTTGTTTATTTCTTAAGAGAAGTCTTTGCCTAACAATTTATGGACTTAGGCTGAGATTTTCAGAGCAGTTAGATGCCCAACTAGCATTGAATTTTAATGGGATTTGGTTGCCTAACTTCTTTAGACTCTTCTGAAAGTCCCAGCCTCGACTTTGAATGTAAACATAAAAGTGACACATAGTCACTGTAAAAGAATTTTCCATTGTAAGTTTAAAAAAAAAAAAAAAATTTTAAGAAACCAAAGCAGTGAGCTTCAGAACCAACCGAGCCTATTTCCTAAATTTTTATTAGTCCAAAGTATATATTGAACTTCCTCCTTCTTCTGTTTTACGGTGTGACTATTAAATAGTCTCATACTGTTATTTTAATGTCAACTTCACCTATATCTCCCCTTTATTAGTCTTCAAGGACCCAGTCTTGCTAAGAGAGGCACAAACACAGATTCTTGGCTAACTACCACTCTTAGTGTCTCCCACCAATGTAGCTCCATTGGTGATAGCATGAGTGTAAATGGGGCATAGGCGTTTTCACCATCATGTTCTCTTCATTTACCACGGTTACACGAGAGAGTGGTAAAAATGTTGGTGCCCCAGTCAACGTTCTCTGTACTCCTGCACAGACTTCTGTTTTCATTAATAGGACTCCCTTGGGAGCAATGCAAAGATCTAAGAACATGCTTAATTATTGGGCTCAGTGAAACCACTCATGTTTAAAGCTAAGGATGTGCATAAGTTTTTACAGGATCAGGGGCTAAGTGTCTGCACTCGCAGACCCCTTTGCATTATTGGGCCATAAATGTCTGGCCAACAGCTATAGTCTCAATAAAAAGTCTAGTCCAATGCACATTTTTACTGAGTGGCTTGGTAGTGATTTTTCAGATATGGCAGACCAAATCCCACTGGTCTTTGCCCAGATAAGCATGTTATTTTGATGTTCAATAACACAGTAGCTTGAGAAAATTCAGAACGAAATCTGAATTTACCTAACCAGAAGAAGGTAGAATAACAAGGTATTCTATGTAGGCTTGATTCCTAAAGTAGCTGAATGGTTGGTTGGTTGCTTGCTTGCTTGGTTAACTGATCTTTTTGGTGTATTTGTTTCTAGGAAATCAGCTCTATCCTAAAGGAGCTAAGAAGAGTTCAGAAACAGCTGGAAGGTTGGTAATTTTAAAATATTCTCCATTTCTCTCTCAAATGTAGATGACTAGTACAAAATAAAGTACCATTGTAACTTTACAATTACTTTGCATTGTCAATTTAAACTTTGTAAACGTAAAGCACTCGTTCATTTTATGCATGCATTGCTCCTCAATATACACAAACAGAAGACGTATAAGTGATGGATTGTTCTTGTGTTGCAAACATAAGAAAGTTACTGACTTCTGAACTGCTGTAGTTATTGCTGTGGAAATGATTAATTCACAATAATTAGGGCTTGACCACAAGATGGACAAGCCAAGGCTTCTGTTGTTCACACCCCCACATGGCTATTCAGCCAATAAGTCATGCCATATTTTCGTACTACTTTTAAGCAAGTGTTCGTGTTGACTTGAATCCATTATGGAAGGTGCCACGCTATAGAGATAACAATATGAGCTGAATGCCTGACCCTTGTTTCATTTTAATAGTTAAGAAAATGTTAAAAATGTCTTATTGGTGAGTGATTGGTGTTTGGCAGGTGTTTCTCTTTTTCCAGTTTAAACAGAAAACGTCAAGTCCTAATGGTAAAGGTCAATTTTGGAGAGATTTTTATTTTTTTGCTTATTAAAATTGCTTGGGCCCGAGGATAATTATAAAGAAGGTGGAGTGCAGTCATGGGGAGGGGGGAACAAACTGTGATTAACTGGGCACAAGAGTAGTCTAGAATTCTGAAGGTGAGGGAGTTTCTGTGTAGAAATGCTGCGGAGTGCAGCTAATATGCATCTTTCTATTTCTTTTCTCCTTCCCCAGTTATAAATGCTATCATTGACCCCAGTGGGAACTTGGATGTAGTTGCTACTAACAAAGCGTCCTCTGCTGCTACACAGTCTACAACCACTAAAGTCAGGACTGCTAACCATTCTGGCTCCACGTTGGAGATTTTGTCACCAGTACAGATGAGAAATTACATCCAGAAATCGAACTGTGGATCTTCTAGCCTACAAGATGCTAATTTCATTCCAGATGGAGAGAAATACGTGATCTGATACAATATTTTATATTGCTATCATACTGTCATTTACTGTGGCGTTAGTTTTGTGTCCGAGTGGTTGTGGACAGTTCGTATGGAGCAGTTGTTTAGATTGCTAACACATTACACACACACACACACACACACACACAAACACACAAAAAAACTATGCTGTGTGGGTGAATGGCAAGTCTGTGTATGCCTTTTGAACAAGACTAGCACTGTGGAGCAGCACATATTCAGCATAGAGGCAAACTCTGATTTTTACAATACAACTCACTTAAATTCTTCCAATGTGCCATAAGAAACAGGCTTTGCATATCCTCCATTTGCTACTGCCGAAGCTCTAAAGTGTTCTTGGATTAGCCTGTTTATAATTCTCAGTTACTGGTAGTTCAGTTGTAACAAGGCTCTGTTTAAAAAAGAAGTGTACTTTTTTTTGATTGGCGCTACATTTTGGACTGATTTTAAAAATAGAGCATTACAATTCTATTGGAATCAACTTGCATACCTAGCAGTATATTGGTGCAATACAGTGGGTTTCTATAAGGAACTCTGTTTTAGTTGTATGAAAATTGTTTTCGGTGTTTGCAAAAAAAAAAAAGGAAGGAACCACTTTGAATCTATGTGCATCATGCTTTCAATCCAAAACCTTTGTTTTTCTATTGATAAGGTATAAAATTTCTAATATAGTTGTAGATTCTGAACATATTTCAGGCACAAAGCTTCAAGTATACAGATGTAGATTAGCCTTATAAATGAGAAGGTCAGTTTTTATAGTTGAGCTTGCCAAATTCTCATTATTTCAGTATAATCGCTGTCTGAAACTTTTTTGAAAATATAATAGTCTTTCATATTGAGCTGCAAATTCTCCTGAATGAGCTAAAGAGCAAGTTGTCTGTGATCAGCCAGTTACTAAGAAAAACATCTGTTCCATTGGCTCATGTAATAAACGTAATTACACAATGGCTGTGAACTAATATTCACTCTACAGCACTCAAAATAATGGCTTCAGTGTGGCTCTGCCTTTACTGATAGTGTTGTCATGAGATTTTTCGTGTCCAGTTATGCATGAATACACACCGTCCTGTTGTATTCTTGAGAACCTACCCCACGGTATAAAGCTGCTGGTGTTACAATGCATTGGTATGACTCTTTTGGTCCATTATAATCTTAGGAACACTAAGGATTATTTTGCAGCAGCATTGAGAGAATACCGTAAAATTA